CTGCGACGGGATAAATGGGTGCTTGTGGTGGAAGGTCTGATGGCTGTTGCAGTGGCGGGGCTGGTGGTGCCGATAGCGGCCTATGGCAGCGGCAGGGGTGGTGTCGCTGCGACGTGACTAACGGGGCTCGTGGCAGGTGGCTAGGCTAGTGGCGAATGATTGTGTGTGTATGTGTGCGCGTGCGCGCTCCGTGTGTGTGAGTGAGCTGTGTTGTACGTATGTGTGTGAGATATGGTAGGTGGGTGGGGCCCACTGTGTGGGTCTATGAGTGAGAATTGTGGCTAATCATGTCCACTTTACCTTTAATGAGTAGTCAAATATATATATTTGACCACGATATGTTCATTTATTTATGAGATTGTCACTGAGTGTTTGACTGTCTCATATATTAAAATTTGACTTGATCTCGTTGTTTTGATAAATCCAATGATACATAATTATTCTTATGCCTCATTCCTACTTTTATCCTAATTCCTACCTGATCCTAATGAATCTCCTTCGTTGCTTTAAAATAAATGCCAAGAAACACAGTTCTTTTCCATAGAAATTAAGCAACTTCGTTCCAGTGAATAGATTGTTTTATCTACGCCCTCTCTTCATCCAATTTTTAGCTAAATCGACAATAAACAACACCATCAACTACGTGGTATTAAGCTTATCAACACAAAATACAAATCTTTAAACTTAACCATTTCATAAAATTGATCCATCACTCCAACTACAACAAGCAGTCACTCCCATTGATGCAGCCCCAACACAGGCCAACACCCAAAAAAAAAGTCCCTACACCAGAGACGACTCGTTATCCTGCTCGATTTCGGAGGCGAGCTCGTCATCCTCTGCCTCGAAACAATCAATCCCGCAAGCCGAATGTGCTTCCCCAAACGCCTTAATATGGTCCTTGAGCGACCTCTTGTGCTTGAAGTCAGAGCCGCACGTGCAGTACCACAGCTTGCCGCAGTTCTTCTCGTGGGTCCGCCAATCCCCCCTCACCGCAAAGGCTTTCCCGCACTTGCGGCACATGAACGGCTTGATCCCGTGCTTGCGCTTGTAGTGTGTCTGTAGGGTTCGGAAGTCCTTCAATGGCTTGGCCCGTGGGTGGTCGATGTTGTTTCGGCACCCGGCCGCACAACAATAGCACGGCAGCCGAAGCATGGCTGTCGGCTGCGTGCCCCTCAAAGACTCGGGGCCTTTCCGGTATTGGGACCCGTGGCCCCACATGTGCATCTACACATACATTAATTTATTAGACTATATATAAACACAAGTAATAAAATATTTGATAGTATAAATTATTCTTTTCTTTTCACAGGGTTTCAATTAGTGTAAAAAAGTAGTGTTTCAAATCTTTTCTTCTGCATTAGGGTTGAGTGAGAAGATTAAGAAACTTCTAATTGATTCATTTATTTATGTTTTTCTGATGTAGTATGTGATGAAAAGTAAATGATTCCAGGAAAAATTGATAAATTCAGATTGACACATCACACACCTTCCAATGTGTGTAATACACACACACACACACATACACTTTAAGGACAAAAGGGCACATTGTGTATGTTGTTGAATCAAATAAAGAGTGTGACTGACCAGGTTCTTAATTGGATTCTCAAATAGATTATGAAGATCCCCAAAAACCCCCCACAAGTCATTCATTGTTTACACTTTAAAAGACTAGAAACAAAAGATTGGGAAATGTTGCGGTCCCGTTACGGTACCATCCCGTCGGGTGTTTTAACCGTTGGATACACATGTAGTTAGTATAAGATAGATGATCCAACGGTTAAAACACCCGACGGGATGATACCGTAAAGGGACCCTAGCATTTTCCCAAAAGATTATCAATAAATCCATGAGAAATGCTATTGTCCCGTTACGGAACCATTCCGTCGGGGTTTGTAACCGTAAGATCATCATGTAACCGTCAGAGATAGTTGATCTAACAGTTACATACCCGACTGAATGGTTCTAAATAATAGTTTTTTTAATAAAAACCCTAAGGACCCATACTAATTTATGAAAAAAGTGAAAGGTTGAAATTGGGCCAGAAAAGATGTGTTTCCCAAACAAAGAGGGTCATGGGCTTCCTCTTTTTCCGCAAAATCAAAAGGACAACTAAAAAAGAAAATAAAAAAATTATAAAAAATAAAAATAAAAAGAGTTATAATAGTAATTAATTTCAAATAAGAGAGAAAAAAAAAAAAAAAAAAAAANAAAAAAAAGGCCGGCCAATGCTTTTTTGCTTCTTAATACTGTTAGGTACCTGCATGTTGTTGTATCTGTTGAAAGTCTTGAAGCAAAGCGGGCAAGAGAACTGGGTCGGGCCGATCAGAATCTGGGCCGGAGTCGGAATCCAATACTGTCCTCTGTTAATTGGGCTCGCCGGGTAATTATTATTGTTACAACCATAACCGCTGTTGGCAACGGTAACTTCTTCTTTGTTACTGATGTAATTCCCCGCCGTCGTACTGTCGGCCGAATCGCAAAAACCGCCGGCCGGAGTCGAAAGCCCTAAATTCAGGTTCACCTCCATAGGAAAACTACAATCAATATTGTAATCACGACGACGATGATTATTACTATTACTATTATTATTAAAAGACGACGAATCTTGATTTTCCGAGGTATTATTATTAGGCCTTGTTGGGCTGAAGCTGAGGAGGGGCAAAGCCTCTTTGAGCGGCGGCGACGGTGGCGGCGACGCCACGTGGCACTGTGAGTAGAACAAGGAATGGTAAGGATGATTGTATGAGGTGGAGGAGGAGGTTGATGGGTTAAAAAGGTAATTATGGTTAGGGTTGTTAAGGTTGGAATAATTGAGATATGATCCATTGTGGTGAAAAAAGTTTGAGTTGTAATTAGGGTTAGCCATGATGATGATGAGGAGGTTGATGAGCTTTTGGGAGAGAATAAAAATGGTGGAGAAAGTAAGAGAGAGAGAGAGAGAGAGAGAGAGAGAGAGAGAGAGAGAGAGAGAGAGAGATCACAAGAAAGGGTGAATTAAGTGAAGAAAGAAAACCTAGCCAACATATTTAAACTAGTGGAGGACTTTTGTAGGGGTGGTTAATAAAAGGATAATTAATTACTACTTGTGTGTTGTGTGTGTGATGGTAAAAGTAATAAAACCTAAATGAAGAAATAGAGAGACATGGATAGACAAGATATATTATCATCACTTTGTGAAATGTGACTAAACAAGAAAGAGAGAGAAAGATGTTTATTATAAAAGAAACAAGAATGGTGGGATTTGTGAAAGAGAGAGAGAAGAGAGAGA